ATGTATGAAATAAGAAAAAAGGAATTTCTCGTCATCCAGAAAAACAAAAATTTTTTGGAGCAGCGAAAATTGATCGCACAGAATTTTGCTTTTTTTTTGGAAACGAGAAGTACACAATTAAAGTAAGCTTTACTTTGTATACTATAGAGCTTTTCACGTTGCATCTTGCGCTGTGTTTTGTTTTCTGTCAATAAAAGATATCAGGTGATAAAAAGATGAAATAAGAAAAAATGAATTCATCTTATACCAAAACAGGAACCGTTTTTTTCATGCGGTCGAAAACTGATCGCTCAAAATTTTATTCATTTTGAAAACAAAAAGTGCAATTATAAAATAAGCGGTCTTATGCAAATTGTAAAGCTTTTCACGCTGCATCTTGTGGTATATTTTATCTTTTTTTAATATAACCTATTAAGAGGTTGAAAACTGAAATGCAAAGCGTGGTCATTTAATTTGCCTTCGATACTAGTGAACTTGTACACAAAAACAGTTCTTATTGAAAGTTTATTCTTATGGTATTAGTTGAAGTATGATCAAATAGCATAGAAAAATAGAGCATTTTTTTCTCTATCAGACTGTATAGAAAGAAAATCTCCTTTACTCTTATGTAAGCTATTATAGGGTCGGCGTCATTACTTTTGGTATGCTGTAAGTATATCATATAGATGACAAAGACAGTGCAAAAGAGATCGCGGAAAATACTGAAATGCTTCAACTATATCATTCTACGACTGCATTGAAATTAGCTTCAACATTATTTATGAAAAAATGGAAGATGATCAACAACAAAAACCAATCACTATTAGGTTTTCTGATTGGTTTTATACAGAATGCTTTAAATCAAATGCTGATTGGTATGAAGGTATTCTATTGAATGCACTAAGCACCAACAACGCTCTGGAGGCAACCAATAACAGAATAAAAGATGATAGAACATTCAGAGAACGTGATGCATTCTCAAGATTTTTAACAACAGTCTCAAACATTATCAATAACTGGTCAGTTTAACTAGATACATTGTTAATAAATGCAAAGATATTTGGTATGGAACCAACAATGTCTTTATCATTACCGACTTTATTATATCAATGGACTAAATCAGCGAAAGATAAAATTTGTATTCAAAATGATATTTCAAAACAATATTACATACCTACTCGTGATTTACAAGCGATTATAGAAGCCGATTTAAATGGCTTTAAAAATAAAAAATGAGCAAGTTTTAATCAACTCAAAAAATCATTGGATATTTGATGTATAGAAGTGGCTAATGGTTTATCTTGAAAAACATCAAAGTGTAGCTGTCCAGCCGTTTTTTTAAGAACTACTTATGCAAACATGTTATTGGTATGACTATTTGTTTGAAATATTACAAACAACCATCAGTGGCAAAAACAATGTCGACCAGTGAAAGAAGAAAAAGAGGCAGATCAGCAAGGGTCAAACCTACCTTGCTAGTACATAATTCAATTTTCATAACATTTTCTTCCTTTCATCTTTGGATTTCTATTTAATGTTCTTTTGAATTTCTTCTTATTTATTCTGTGGTTTTTTTATTTATTTAAATTTGTTTTTCTTCTATTAAATTAATTCTTATACGAATAAAACTTATCTCTTGTGTTGATAGATGATGCATTTTTACTGATCAAATTTGAATTTTTCACTGACACTTATATAGATATAACTCACCATTTTAATAATGACCACTCAATATTTACACTGTTCATTTGTATAGGTTTTTAGTGACTATTTCATTTATGTTACTGACCAAAAACTATGTTACCAATTTCAATCCTTACCAAGTATTCCAGGCAGTTTTTACCTCGTTTACATCTATTGCTTCTAAATCGTCTGAAATTTTGAGATCTTGTAGACCTTATAGACATAATGTTATCCATAAGACTACTTTCTTAATATCTGAGTAATAAATATGTACGTATCGAGGACAATATTTTGTATGGTTTTTGAGTATAATTACAAAAGCTAAGATTTTATTGAAAATGATCCTATACAAAAATTGTTCAAATTAAATGTATACAGTATTAACTATTTATAAACAGTATATATGTGCTAGTTGCAGAGGTAAAACGAATATACGTAGCACCAATAGAAGTATTATACTTGTACTTATACATGTGCTTAAGTACCAAAAAAAGTACTTGGTACTTTTAGTTGACGTATGAATAAATTAATGTTGTTGATAAGATTGACTAGCTCTGAAAAGTTTTTAAAGATCATACTTAGGGCATACCAAAAGTAGTGAGGGAGGTATTTTTTTCCTCAAACAGGGGTATAAAAAAATTTCTTTTTTTACCAATAGATAGAGCGTCTTTCGCTCTATTTTTCTATGTTATTTGATTACTATTCAACTGGTATCATAATAATAAAATTTCGATAAGAACTTTTTTTGTGTAACTCCCGCTGGTAGCAATAGTGCATATTATCATCTATGCCTGTTTTCATCATCTAATAGATTTTATCAAAAAACCAAAGGAACCACAAGATGCAGCATGAAAAGCTCTACAATTTACAAAAAAACAGTTTATTTTAATTGTGTATTTTTTCTTTTCAAAAAAAGCAAAATCCTGTGCGACCAGTTTTCGCCATTGCGAAAAAATCATTTTTTTCTACACAAAAGAGAAATTTCTTTTTTCTTATTTCATATTTTTATCATCTAATACGTTTTATTAAAAACGAGATATATCACAAGATGCAGCGTGAAAAGCTCTACAATTTACACAGTAAAGCTTTTTGTAATTGTTTNCCTCAAATGAAATAGGAAAACAAAATAATGATCGTAGTTATTTATTTGCCGCGTGATATGGAATCTTGCCACGAGCTCTACAGAACACTGTATAGAAGTTCGTAAAATTCATGAACAGAAGATTGGTTCAGAATATCTGGTTACCTTGCAATCTCTAAGTTATTGATGAACTCGCAAGCATCGCTTTAGCATCTCAAAAAATAATTGATTACAATCTTGCAACATGTTATTGAAACTCCTTTGCCATGTGATCTTCGATCAACTGACCGAGTCGTAACATTTGCTTCGAAGTAAGCAATAGAGGTGGACAGAAGTTTCTTCAGGAATATTTCTTTTCAATATGCTCTTCGATCAACTGACTGCATTGCAACATTTGCTTCGAAATGAGTAGAAGAGATGAACAGAGGTATTTTGATGAATGTTTCTTTGCCATGTGATCGTTGATCAGCTGACCGAGTCGTAATGTTTACTTTGAAGTGAGTAGAAGAGGTAAACAGAAGTATATTGATGAATGTTCCTTTGCCATGTGATCTTCGATCAGCTGACCGAGTCGCAATGCTTGCTGTGAAATAAGCAAAAGAGATGAACAGATGTCTAATGAATATTGTCCCATTGTCATGTGATCTTCGATCAGCTAGCGAAGCCGCAACATTTACTTCGAAGCGAGCAAAAGAGGTGAACAAATGTCTCTTCAGGAGTATTCCTTTCCAATGTGATCTTCGATCAACTAACTGAGTCACAACGTTTGCTTCGAAATGAGCAAAAGAGGTAAACAGAAGTATTTTGATGATTGATCCTTTCCCATGTGATCTTCAATCAGCTGACCAAATCATAATGCTTGCATCGAAATGAGCAAAAGATGTGAACAGAAGTCTTCTGAGTAATTTTCCTTTGTCGTATGATCTTTGATTAGCTTGCCGAGTTGCAACGATTGCTTCGAAGTGAAAAAAAGAGGTGAACACAAGTCTGCTGAGTGATTTTCCTTAGCGATGTCGCCTTTGATCAGCTGATAGAATCGTAACGTTTGCTTCGACGTGAAAACAAAGAGGTGAACAAAAGACTGATGAGTAATGTTGCTTTGAAATATGATCTTCGATTAGCTGACCGAGTCGCAACATTTGCTTTAAACTGAGCAAAAGAGATGAACAGAAGTGTTTTGATAAATGTTTCTTTGCCATGTGATCATCCATCAATTGACCGAGTCGCAATATTCGCTTCGAAATGAGCAAAATAGGTAAATAAAAGTATATTGATGAATGTTTCTTTGCCATGTGGTCTATGATCAACTGACCGGGTCGCAACTTTTGCTTCGAAGTGAGCAAAATAAGTGAACAAAAGTTTGCTGAGTAATGTTCCTTTGCCATGTGGTCTTCAATCAACTAATCGAGTAATAAAGCTTGCGTCGAAGCGAGAAAAAAGGGTGAACAGAAGTCTGATGAACAATGTCCCTTCACCACGTGATCCTGGATCAGCTTACCGAGTCGCAACGTTTGCTTCAAGGTGAGCAAAAGAGGTGAAAGAAGAAATCATCTCTGTTTATGTGAGAAGCATTGATAATCTTTATCTTTGATGCTTCTTTTTTGCAGTGGAAAGTTCTTTTTAAATTGTTCTTTGGATAATAAAATGTAACAACGTTACCGAAGATAGGACCGAATCGGTTACAAAGTATTATGAAGCAAACTTTTGTTCACTTATTTTGCTCACTTCGAAGCAAAAGTTGCGACCCGGTCAGTTGATCATAGACCACATGGCAAAGAAACATTCATCAATATACTTTTATTTACCTATTTTGCTCATTTCNTTTTTAGTAGTGTCAAAACATAAAAAAGAATAGAATTTAGGGTGTACACAAAAACAAGTATGCGTTGCGACTCTTTGAGGTGTGTGCAGCGACTTCAAGTCACGGTGCAGATATAAAAGGTTAGTTACGCGGGCAATTTTTTTAGTAATTGTCGAGTAATTAAATTTAACTTTCAAGTTCGACGTGTGTGATACATTCGAGCATATTGCATTGACTTATAAAAGAAGAAATTTATATTTTAAGGTATAGATTTGGATAAATAGGTTTAGACGAAGGGAAAAGAAAACCTTGTAAGTAAATTATGATTTTATTTGAGAGCTATATGAATTATTCATGTCGAAGCCGAAGAATAATAATATTTTATTTATTTTTTATTATTTATTATCGTTCAATAAAATATGTATGTATGAACAGGTATAAGTATTGATAATCAATATGAGCTATAACTCGATTGTCTTTCGTGAATTTACACACGAATCATTTCAACGTATTGAACTTTATCGAAAAGAAGAAGCTGAACGTATTGCTTCTGAACAATTAGAACAACAAATAATACGTGAGGACGATAATGATGAACGTCACCATATGATAAAATCATCGAAAGATGAATCTATTGGTTCTAAAGGAGTGCCTAATAAAGAATTGGCCGTTGGAGAAACATTACCACGAGTTTTACAACATAAATTCCCACCTGAACTTATTGGAATACCAATTGAAGAAATCGATTCTTATTATCGTACAGACTATGTATGTATAATCGTTGATAGTTTCATCTTATTAAAAAGAAGGTTTTTCTTTTTGTATTTTAAAATCATAGGCATTTGTGGTTATCAATCGAAATAAAACAATATTTCGATTTAGTGCAACCTCAGCTTGTTATATATTTTCTCCATTTAATTGTTTTCGACGTGTAGCCATACGTATATTAACACATCCACTTTTTAGTACATTGGTTATGCTTACTATTTTAACTAATTGTGTATTTATGACACTTAAAAATGCACCGGAAGTGAATGAGTAGGTGACACTGTTCTAGTTTTTCTTCTCAATAATATTATTATTGTTTTATTCTCTATTTTAAATAAAATAGATATGTTTTCACAACAATTTACACACTTGAAGCATTAATAAAATGTGTTGCACGAGGATTCATTCTACAAAAATATACATTTTTACGTGATGCATGGAATTGGTTAGATTTTATTGTAATTACACTTGCGTATGTATTAAAAAAGATGAGAAAATATTTTATTTTGCATTTTTTTTCAATTGTTTTTAGATATATTACATTTTTTATCGATTTGGGAAATGTTGCTGTACTACGAACATTTCGTGTATTAAGAGCATTAAAAACTGTTGCAGTTGTACCTGGTATATTGTTTTATATTTATAGATTGTTAATTAATGAATTCATTGTTTTAGGTTTAAAAACAATTGTTGGTGCTTTAATACAATCTTTTATTTCTCTACGAGATGTATCAGTTTTATCAAGTTTTATTCTTTCTATATTTGCTTTGGTTTGAGATTTAGACAATAAAAAAGTATATTGGATGGATAAGTTGTTCTTTTAATTATAGATCGGATTACAACTTTATATGGGCGTTCTTCGTCAAAAATGTGTACCAACTTATGAATCTTTTTTAAATAATTCCAATCCTTCCAGTATTGGATTTAATATGACATATGAAGCCTATGAGAAAGAAATCAATAATGAAAGTAGGTTAAAAAAAATCATTTATACTCTTTCAGTGTCTATATTCAGAATTTCAATAAGACTCCTAAGTTGGGAATGGCTTCTATCGCCAATGAGGGTTTTCATAAGCGATATAATGACGTACCTACAATACCTTGGTTTCCAGTCAGATTCAATGCTATGAAAAAAATTGCTCACACAACGTATGCAACAAGAGACATCACTGTTGAGACGAGAGTCTAGTATTTAAATACTGATCGGAAAAATTCTAAATGTGATACAGTCAAAGAAAAGAAAGTAGGATAAAATGAAACGGACATTTTTACGATAAAAATAAGACAGTAACAAGAAAAATCATCGAACAATAGCATGAAATCAATTTACAACTCGATACGATTACACTCGCCATCTCAGGATCAGCTAATGAAATGCTGATAAATATAGAAAATCTTAAGAATTCTATTCTTAACAGGTTACATCTTGATTATGCTATTTTTAATTTTTTGTTTTACTTTTATAGCTTATTGGTATAAAGAAAATGATATTTTTCTTCTCTGTGGTAATGTCAGTGGAAGTACAAAATGTCCTTCGGGTTATGTTTGTTGGAAAAATCGAGGCAAAAAGTAAGTTTTGTTTTTGTTTTTAATCATTAATTTAACAAACTTTTGTTGTTTTATAGTCCTGATTTTGGATATACCAGGTAGATTTGATTTACTTTTGTTTTTATGTTAATTTTCGTTTTGTACAGTTTTGATAGCTATGGTTGGGCTATGCTTGCGTGTTTTCGATTAATGACACAAGATTATTGGGAAAATCTTTATCAATTAGTAAAAGAAAAATCAAAAGGCAAATTCTATAAATTATAATAATTATATTTCAATCTAGGTACTGTCAGCAGCTGGTCGTTATCATTTTCTATATTTTGTTGCTGTCATATTTTTTGGTTCATTTTATTTGGTTAATTTAATCTTAGCTATTGTCGCCATGTCTTATCAACAACAACAAAAACAAGTTGAAGCTGAAAATGAAGAACGTGAAAGACGTAAAATTCAAGATGATCTTGAATTACAAAATGTAGAAGCACAAGAAGCATTTGAAGCTCAGACACTTTTACATGTTGATAATGCGCAATGGTTTGAAGATCAAAATCGTAAAACTTCATATTCTGGTGTTTCTCTTGAATATGAACAACATGGAAAAGTAAACAATTTAAAAAAATTTTTTCTTATTTTTTAAAATACAACAAAAATTTTGTAGAAAAATGAACTAAATAACATACAATCATCTCAAGCATCATCATCATCAATGGTTCAATTTCGTAAGTCAAGTTTAATTTTGTCTGATGCAATAGTAAATGATGCGTTAATAATACCATTTTTTGACGAAACACAACAAAATTCAACAAATGACGATAGAAAAAATCACCGAATAAGCGGGTGTTCTTATTTATCAGGACAAAATCAAAATGATAATGATTCAACTGTTATAGTAAGAAGAAAATAAATTTGTTATTCTTTTTTTAAGTTTCTAAAACTTATCTTAAAGCTTTATCAAGACGAACCTCATATAAAATATGCTCCAGTTACTGAAATATTACCTGGTCAAGAATCGGACAGAACAAGTGTTCGATCAAAAAGTGAGTCGTTTTGTAATATATCCTATAAAACTTACATCAATTCATTTGTCCACATTTTATTTAACAAAATTTTTATTTTTTCCTCCTTTCACTTTCAATCCTCATTCTTTATATCAACATCAAAAAAAAAAATACACGTATGATTTTTATTATTTATTGTTTACGCATGTTTGTACATTGTTTTATATATGTCCGTTTTCGATTGATTATCTAGAAAAATGAGCATGAACGGTAATTATAGTATCATTATAAAAGATATTTGAACATCGCCATTTCAGATATGGAGACAACCAATAAATGTAAAGAAGCATTAGTTAAACTTCTACGAATTTATTGTTGGGAATGGAGTTGTAAATCGCCGATATTTCAAAAATTTCAAGTACGTTGACAGGACACAATACCTAAATAGTTTAGTCACTCGTAGATTGATTTGTATATAACAGCATAACAACCTTAATGTTATCAAATATTAATATGAAACAAGTCCTCCAACTGATTAGTTACTTTTGAGTTGGAACTATGTGCTATTCGAAAATTAGTCTCTCTAGTGTTTCTGATTGGGAGCACGTAATTCAGTTAAAAAGTACCGCAAAAATGCAATATTTCCACAGCAATAAGTCTAGGATTCGAATTCGTATTCTGGTCTACATAATGCACATAATTCTGGCTCAAAAACGATTAATCAAAAAAGTATGATGCTACAATGATAGATGTGAAACATCACAGTGAAAATGACATATTAGTTTCAACGATATACATAAGTTTTGCATTTTCTTCGTTTCTAAATCACTTGATTTATATACAACTAGATACTACCTTCTATTCACAACAAACCCTTTAAAATAAGTATATATCTGTTTTTTATAGGCTGCTGTTGCTTTTTTTATATTGGATGCATTTGTTGATTTATTTATTACAATATGTATTATATTAAATACATTATTCATGGCACTTGATCAACCTGGTCAAAGTGAAAAAATGACACGAATTTTAACAACTGGCAATTATGTTTTTACAAGTATATTTGCAGCTGAATCCATACTAAAAATAATTGCATTGACACCATCTAAATTTTTAAAAAATGGATGGAATGTATTTGATTTAATTATTGTTACAGTTAGTGTTATTGAATTAGGTCTTGCTGGTGTTAAAGGTTTAAGTGTTTTACGTTCATTTCGATTAGTAAGTAATTATAATAGAATTCTTGTTTTATGAAGTTTTTCTTTGTTTTTGTTTTATGTTAAGTTACGTGTATTTAAATTGGCGAAGTCTTGGCAAACATTAAATCGTCTTATGTCAATTATTGGTAAATCAATAGGAGCTTTAGGAAATTTAACATTTGTTCTTGTTATTATAATATTTATTTTTGCTGTTATGGGAATGCAGGTAAATTAAATGAAATTTTCAAAAAAAAAAACTATTTTTAGTGTTTTACAGTTATTTGGTCATAAATATGCAGAGAAATTTGGTAAAGATATGCCAAGATGGAATTTTTTTGATTTTTTTCATGCATTTATGTAATGTTTATTTAATAAGTTTAACTAAAGAAAAGAATGGACTTTTTTTTCTTTTTAAAGGATTGTTTTTCGTGTCTTATGTGGTGAATGGATTGAATCAATGTGGGTATGTCTTGAATGTGTTGGATGGCCATGTATTCCATTTTTTCTACTTACATTTATTGTTGGTAATCTTGTGGTACGTAATATATATTTAGAGAAATTTCTTTCACATTAAATACATGACATTTATGAGTTCAGCTTAAAAAAAACAAGAATTTAAAGATCAATATATCAGCTATTAAGCTCAGTTATAAATAAAATGATAACATTAACAAAAGTATCTTTAAAAAAACTCGAATGATGTGATCTACAACTAACTATATTCGAAAATATTTTTTGTTTCATTGTCTTATCTCTGAGAAGCATAAAATTCAAAATTATGTAATATATATTAAACTATTGAATGGACCTTATAGCGATTATCGGAAAATAACAGTTGGAATGATATATATTGTATTAGACGTCGAAAAAAGTATTGATTCTTCTGAAACAATCATCGAGATGTAAAGGGTTCAGAACGATTTGTGACATAAATCAGCTGAAAAAAAAAATTGAAACTCTGATTTTATATCGAAATTTTTTTAAGAGCCCTCTAAAAATCCATTATAATCCGAGGAGATTTTGGACGTCCTACATTTTGAGGACGACTCGACTGATTCCGCGCAATTTGTTTTCCGGACCCATAGACATAAGTTCTATGGAAAGCAAAATTTTTCTCTCAAACTATTAAATCCGTAGTATTCTATGGATTTTACTAATGGAGGCAAAAATCACAATCAGAACCAAAGTCATATACTTAATATTTCCCGACTGGAAAATGGTTGAGATGTGAAAATTTTTTTTGTTTTTTTGACAAGCACATATCAATGATCTCTTTTCACAATGATACACTCAGCTTACTTGAGCAAAGCATTCGTTCAGGACATTTTCAGCAAAAATTTGAAGTTTGTTTTTCGCGGTCAATCAAGAAATGTCAGCTGAATCAATCGAGTCGTTCTCAAAATGTAGGCTTTTCAAAATTTCTTCAGATTATAATGAAATTTTATAGATCTCTTCATAAAATTTCGATATAATATCGAAAGTTTTATTTCTATATTGATAGATATTAAATTTATTTCTGGCACTTTTACTTGCATCATTTGGTTCAAATGTTTTAACTGAAAAAGAAGATGATGAAAATAAAATTGGTGAAGCAATTGATCGTATTCAACGATTTTTACATTTTCTAATTGATTATATTTGTCATTTATTTTGTCGAAGAAAACAACGACAACAAAGGACTTCTATCAAAAACAATATCAATGAATCTACAGCTGATAATCAAGTTTGTTAAATCATTTTTGTTTATTATTCAATTTGATTTCATTGTTTTTTTTTTCTTTAGTCACTTTCCGCTGGACAAGAATCAATTAGTTATCTTCCTTTACCAACATCATATAACTTAGAAGAATCCAATAGTTCAGCAATTGTAACTAATGATTTATCACTACCATATGAAGAAATTGAAATGCAACCAATGAATAATAATTCTATAACACCTCCTCCAACTTGGCAAATTCTTCATGTATCACCAGATTGTTGTCCTCAAATGATATCAAAACATTTTTCTTGTTGTGCAAAATGTATTCCAAAACTTATTCAAAAACAATGGACATATCTTCGTAGTTTAACTCTTCGTTTCGTTGAACATCGTTTTTTCGAATGGCTTATTATTATTAGTATATTAGCTAGTAGTACGACTTTAGTAAGTTAATAATAGATGAAAAAAAAAATTTTGAGAGGAATACTTTTTTTTTTTTTTATTCTTCTTTCTATGAAGGCTTTAGAAGATGTAAATACACGACAACAACCAACATTTTCTGAAGTTTTAGCTGCATTTGATAAAATTTTTACAGTTATTTTTACAATAGAATTAATATTAAAATGGTTTGCATATGGAATAAAAACTTATTTTACAAGTGGTTGGAATTGGTTAGATTTTGTTATTGTAATTGTTAGTGTTCTTGGAACTGCTCTTGATGTGTTTGGTGTAGCTGATATTCCAGCATTTAAATCCATGAGAACATTAAGAGCTTTACGTCCATTAAAAGCACTATCAAGATTTGAAGGAATTCGAGTATGAAAATAATTAATTTAATTATTTATTTTTGTTTTCAAATAGGTTGTTGTTAATGCATTATTTGGTGCTATACCAGCAATTTTTAATGTTTTACTTGTTTGTCTTGTATTTTGGTTGATATTTTCGATTATGGGTGTACAATTATTTGGTGGAAGATTTTATAAATGTGTTTATGTTGATACACATGATCGTGTTAATATATCAGAAAATGTAACAAATAAAATTGATTGTTTAAATAAAAATTTTACATGGGAAAATTCACGAGTTAATTTTGATCATGTTCTTAATGGTTATTTGGCTTTATTTCAAGTTGTAAGTTATTAAATTCAATTTCATAAATAAATCAAAAGATATTTTCCTATAGAAAGTTTAACAAAACTATCAAGTTAAAAAAATAGAAAATAAATATTATAATGAAATTTTTATTGAGACAAACCTACATTTCTATGTTTGTTGCGTATGTTGAAAAATAACTAACAAGTTATATAAATTATTTCTTTAAAAGTTGTTTAAATAAGATCTATAAAATTATTCTCACTTAATTTATAACACACATAAACGAATAACTGTTGAAAAATTTTGTTTTTCAACATTTCCATAAAGATTAATGTTTATCTAAAAGTACAGTAAGAAAGAGTAGTCATCTTAGGAATAAATCGAGAGAAAAGAATCTTCAATATTGATATTATCTCACTCAATTGATAAAACTTGAAAGATTGTATATCTTAGTAAATTTAACTGAATCATGAAAAGAAACACTTTTGGTACGTATCAGCAACTATTTTTGTGAAACACGATCTAAAACAAGTCTTAAAGAATGAAGATAAAAGTTCGGATCCACCCTCACAGACTCTATATGAATAGCGTCTTGTCATTAGGGAGTCGTAGGCGCACGTTTTTTCCCTATGATCAGCAACAGCAATTACATTGCACTGAAAGATATGGGCGATCATGTTTTTTTTTGGTTCCGATCGCGGCAAGTTCTCTTTCTGATGGTCCTAGTCTCGGTGACCGAGACCAGAACTTAAGTTGGCTACACACATCTCAGTTATTCTGACAATAATTAAATTTTTGTTTTATTTAAATAGGCAACTTTCAAAGGTTGGATTGAAATAATGGCTGATGCAACTGATGCCAAAGAAGTATGTAGCTATTTCTATTAGTTTTTTTTTTTCTACATCTATGTTTTTGTTTTTATAATATAATTTTTTAGATAGACGTTCAACCACAATATGAAACTAATGTTTATATTCTTATTTATTTTGTTTTATTTATTATATTTGGTTCATTTTTTACTCTTAATTTATTTATTGGTGTTGTTATTGATAATTTTAATCAACAAAAACGAAAATTAAGTGTTTCTTATTAATCTAATAAGATGATAGAAAATAGAAAAATGTTGTTCTTTTTTTTATAAATTTTAGTTAGGAGCTGATGGTTCAATAGATATGTTTATGACAGAAGATCAAAAAAAATATTATAATGCTATGAAAAAAATGGGTAATAAAAAACCGACTAAAGCATTGCCAAGACCTAGAGTAAACTTTTCAAAAAAAAAAAAAATAAATGCATATATATGTATATTAATTTTCTGTTTATTTTAGTTTGCTCTTGCAAGGTTTCTTTTTGATGTAACAACAAGTCAAAAATTTGATATATTTATAATGATATGTATTTTTCTTAATATGCTTTGTATGTGTCTTGAACATTACAATCAAAGCGATACTTTTGATCTTGTTCTTGGATATATTAATCATTTTTTCGTTGCAGTGTAAGTAAATAATCAATAATAAGTTTGCAATCTGTTAGAAGAATTAATATTGGTCAGTCTGAAGTATAGCTTTCTTACATATTCTCTTTTATGTTGTACATATGAGTAAATTACAAATGTTTGATGCAATTTCTACGAATAAATGAAAATAGAGTTAAACAATTTCGAAGTAGTACATTTTGTTATACTCTTAATTTATATCATTCAGCAATAGTTTCTTCTCGACTTACAGAATATGAAGTGACACACATACGATTATGTTTAGTTTCTGGTAAATTCAATAATAAAATTTACTTTAATCATAGTAGAGGCTCAAATCAATTTAGCTAATATTACAAGCAGAACAATTAATTGGAAAAGATCATAATACATAGGTTTGTTCACTACATATTGCTAATTTAAATTATATTTCCGACCAGCTTCGAGCGGACATATCTGCAGAAAAAGCATCACTGTACATTTTGTAGTATAATGTCATTTTTTTTAAACAAAGAAAGTTCTGTTACATAAGTCCAGTTGTAAATAAGTGTTAGGTGCTGAGCCAATCACAGAAACTTAAACTTAGTAGTTTGGATTCGGGTCATTTTTTAGATTTCTCTATTCGCTCGTCAAAAGTAGACTTCCTTCTATGTTCATAGCCTACCAGTTGGTCTACTTAGCGGATGTTACATAAGAAAAAGTTTTGAAAAGTCTATATCATGTCAATGAGTTTGCGTGCTTATCTAGTTGTAAACAGTCATACTTCAAAGGATACTGCGATTTACATGGTTCAGTATGATGGTACCTGGCGTGACCAAGTTTTTTGATCGCCGTGACAGTGATCATGAATCACGTCAGGTACTAGTCTTTACACACACGAAGATCGTATTATTTTCATGACGTCAGATATAAAGTAGATCAACTAAATATAGACTATTTCAAAATATAAAATATTACTAATAATCACTCATGTTTTGTCAAGATGAAGTTTTATGGCATGCATGCCAAAGCCTTGTTGTTTCGTCCGAATTTTCTTGATAGGAGTTCCAGGAAATTATAGATGTAATAGTGATGATCGATGGATTAACACTAGATCAGTCGTTTTGAAAAAGATGCAAAACAACTGCACCAAACCACAATAAGCTAAGTTCTACTGATATAAATCAATATTGATTAAATATTAAATGCAGTACGCACTCTAAAGTAGGAACAAAAATTTTCCTTATTCATTAAATACAACTAAAATCTGAATAATATGGAAAAGTTGTTTCTGTTATATATTAATACTAATTTAGATTTACTATTGAATGTATTATGAAATTGATTGCATTAAATTTTAAATATTTTACTATTCCATGGAATATATTTGATTTTGTCATTGTAATTGCATCAATTCTTGGTATGTTATTTTTTTATTCATTTTTATTACATATGTCATTTTTTTTCTAGGACAAACATTAGGAGAAATTATAGCAAAATATTTTGTTAATCCAACCTTATTGCGTGTTGTTCGTGTTGCACGTGTTGGAAGAATATTACGTCTTGTGAAAGGTTTGATTTGATAGGAATAAATAAATCGTAGACTTTTTAAAGTTTTCATTTTTATTCTTTTTTTTTTATCAAGGAGCAAAAGGTATTCGAACCTTACTTTTTGCATTAGCTGTTTCATTGCCTGCTTTATTTAACATTGGTCTTCTTCTTTTTCTTGTCATGTTTATCTATTCGATATTTGGCATGTCATTTTTTGGTTATGTAAGAAAATCAGCTGGCATAACAGATTTATTTAATTTTGAAACATTTCCTAATTCAATAATTGTACTTTTTCAAATGTGTACAACTGCTGGTTGGTCTGGTGTTTTTCAAGCATTAACAAATGATCAACCACCAGATTGTGATCCAACTATAAGCACACCATCACATAAAGGTGATTGTGGTGATACGATTATTGCAACACCATTTCTTGTGAGTTATGTAATAATTACTTCTCTTGTTGTGGTAAGAATTTAAAAATTATTATTTTGAACTTTGCTGATTTCATATTATCATTTAGGTAAATATGTATATTGCAGTAATATTAGAAAATTTTTCTCAAGCACAAGAAGATGTACAACAAGTAAATAGATAAAAAAAAAGTTTTTTTTTTTATTTTCTTGCTTTTTGTTTAGGGCTTAACCGATGATGATTATGATATGTATTATGAAAAATGGCAACGTTTAGATCCATCAGGTTCACAATTTATACGATATGATCAATTATCAGATTTTGTTGACAATCTTGAACCACCACTACGTATTGCTAAACCAAATCAATTAGCACTTGTTGCTATGGATTTACCAATATGTGAACATGATCGTATGCACTGTGTTGATATACTTGATGGTCTTACAAAATATTTTCTTGGTACACTTGATATACCAGTAGCAAGTAGTGACACTGATGCACCAATTGATATAAAAAAAGATCGTCCAAAAGATTATCATCCCATAACAACAACAGTACAACGTCAACGTGAACTTTATTTAAGTCGAATGGGTTTAAAAGGTTTTCAAGCTAATGTTGAACGACATCGAAATGAACGAAAAACTCGAGAATCAATACTTGGAAAAGTTACAACTAATGAACTCATTGAATCAGATGAATTAAAAACACCAACATTAGTATTCGACAATAATCAAGATCATTAAACGAATTTGACAATATCAACATAATTAAAACAACATTGAAGACAATGTTTATTTACTAGACTAGGCTTGTTTGCAATAATATGATTACTCTGTGCAGAATTGTATTTCTCTCTCTATACATATAGGATTGCAGTGAAATTAAATTCAACAGTTGAATAGAGATGCTTATGCGCATATTAATAAAATGATCATATTCTTTTACATCTATTGAAAAACAAAAGACTTTGAAACTGATTAATCGAACTACTTCTATTGTATTGAGTTTTCATTTTTGTCTGATAGATCTATCAATCTATTGTCACTTATTAGAAATTAAAATCTAAGAAAAAAAATCGGCTTATAATTATTTTCCAACCTATCAAATAGCTTTTCTTTTTCAAATAATGTTTCAATAAGTACAGATGTTGATGATAACTATTGCATGAATACAATAATCAACGTGAGTTTATAAAAGATTGTCTTTGGCTGTGGTTTTAATGGTCAATAAAACGAATACAACAGTCAATACTTGAATTATTAGATTTTAATTAAAATATAATCAGTTTATTTTAGATGAGTATGGATAAAACTATGACAGTTTTTCTGTCTGGATGTAGATATGAGTTTATGCGTGAGGAAACACATAATACCTACAAACCCACACCCTCTTTGTTGAAATCATCTCTTACGCTGTACTTCTCGATAGTCGCCATTCAGTGCTGTCAAATATTTTGAGTTTTTTGTTCTTCCATTTTATATAACATGGAATTGAGTCAAGTGGATTTTTCTTTTTTCTATCTACTTGGAATTTTACAACTTTAGCTGCTATTGACAGCACTTTTCACTTTGTTATTATATTCTGTTTTCTAAAAGCCAAATATAAAAGAAAAGAAAAGAACAGAATAGGACAGAAAATTTATTTTTGCATGCTGATTAAGTTGAGCCAAAAAATGATTTTCCTAATATTACTATCATATATTGTAAACAGTAAAAAGAAAGGATGTGGGTATGGTTAAAAAGAAGACCATATTTCACACCCATACCCTCTTTTTTTTCTTTTCTCTTGTCATGCGAATGTTGACAAAGCAACAGTGAGTAATACTTTGTTCGTCTCACGTTTCTCTTTTCAAAAGAAGAATCAAAGCAAAAAAAATACAGTCACATAATGATACAATAGGTATCTATAGCTCTATTTATCCACCATTGAGTTAATTTATATTACTAGTTGTATTTTATGATAATAAATCACAATGAATGATATAAATTATAGTTCTAGTAATGAAGAAGAGAAAAATGAAGTTATTATTACTTCATTATTAAGTCATATGATTAACAAAGTTTTATTGATGTGTAAAGAACATCTTGCAGAACTAAATGAAGACCATGTACGCCAATATCGGTAGTGAAGTAAGAAGCAAACACAAGTAAATATACGCGTAGAATACAACAACAAAAACGACAATATAGAGAACCGTGTCGATTAGATCATGTTAATAATCAACAAGCATGTAACGATACCAAGACGACAATTGAGCTTTTTTCTAATATTTAATAAAATTAACCTTGTTGTAGGCTTCTGAGGTCATTAAAGTACGTATGATAAAATGATATACCGCTGTTTGCAAAAAAACTTGGAAACATTTTTCCACAGATATCACCTTCTATACAAGTGCTCTTCGAATTGTTTTATATTGTGATAGATAGCCCACGAACAGTACTACACAACAGTATAATTTCATATTCTCTTTATTCACTTCTAGAAGAGTCATTATAGAAATATCTCGTTTCCTTGGACATAGCAGAATTATTTGTAAAATATATTTCAATTTTTTCAACTTTTTACCTGAAAAATGTTGGGGTTCATCTGTCCTCTTTTAAGTTGTAGGTATGGGCAGAGGCCATGCGAAGCGTCTAAGATTGGGGGGCAGGGGTGTAAAAGTAATATTTGCAACAAAATCTCGGAAAAAAGTGGTAAAACGTACAGAAAATCTACTGTTGTAGCTGAAAACCGTTGAAAATTTTCTACTATTGGGGCGATCTACATCCCCCCCCCCACACTAAAAACTAATAAGGATATTAAGAAAAAACAAACTAATATTTTCAAGTAATTAAAAGTAAAGAAAAGTATGATAAAGAAAAATTCGTGTAATCCTTGTTTTCATATATGAACTATTATTAAACTGTTTCGTTTTTATTATTCTCATTGTATGATTTTTTTTGGGTAAATAAATAATCTACTATAACTTTGAGGCATTGCTTTCCTTTTATTTTTTGACATCTGATAAACTGCGAAAAAACGCATTGAATTCAGTTCGATACGCTGAATTTTTGTTCCCAGTTGTCATAGAGATTCAAATGGTTTAATTCGTGTTGAGAAAAATCTTGTATCTTTTCTTGCTAGTTATATTCCATATTTTCAAACATTACGTCTTTGACGGCCAGATGATTTTCCTTGGACATCGAGTAAGTGAATATTTGAATAAAAATTAAACTTGTTACGATGTTGTCTTATGTGATTTTATCGACAAAGGGTGTGGGAACTTGGTAATCTTCTCCTCATCCACACCCAGATCCAGACCTACACCCACACCCTTATGTTTCAATTGAATAATAGTAATAGTTGTGCCAATAATGCTTGGACATCCTTTCTTGTTCACATATTTGCGTTTCCGTTCTTTTGATTATCCTCTCTTGTTGTAATACAGAAAGGAGGAATACTTTCTGATGTGTGTTATACAATATGCTCTTTTCAATCAGTGTTGTATAATCTACTACTATCATCAATCTTTCTGGTCTTCTTCTTAAGGTTATCCGTATATCTTTGCGTAACACGATTACATCNCTGAATTCCTTGAAAAATCACTATGATGATGGAAATACTGGAAATATGAAAGAATAATAAACCAATTCCCATACAATTTCGCACCTTGATTAGTGAAAATTAATTCATAGATATTACGAATATGATATTCGAAATTAGTGTTAAATTCTGAGTGAAATGATGGTAAATTCGCTAAAGTTGAAGTAGTTTTCACTAATCAAGGTGCGAAATTGTATGGGAATTGGTTTATTATTCTTTCATATTTCCAGTATTTCCATCATCATAGTGATTTTTCAAGGAATTCAGCTATGATATTGGGAATCAGCGTTAGATTCTGAGTAAAATGATGGTAAGTTCATTAATTTTGGCTAAAGTTGAAAAAAATTTGTTTCTTCACTCAATCCTGTGGTCCCCCACAGGTGTCAAAGAAATCGATAAAAATTAAAAGTCGTCTTTCGACAGAAACAAATACATCAGTTTACTCAGAATTTAATGCTGATTCTGAATATCCAATTATTTTTAAAAAATATTGTTGATAAAAAAATCGCCTTTCCATTGTGTTTCCTTTTTTATGATTAGTATCCCTGCTACATTGAAAAATTATTAGAGAAATAAGTAAAGAAATGCTTTAGTCTTGTGTAATTTTTTATGAGGAACATTTCTGTAAAAAAATGTCATGGAAATCTTTTTTTTATCTTAAAAAAAAAGAGTTTTATTGGTACCAGCAAAAACAGCTGAGTTTGCCAAATCACCCCGTAATTTTACATTAATTGCCAAATCACCCCGTGTGGGGTGATTTGGCAGAATTTTTTTCTTCAGTGCTCTTTTTGTAAATGATCGTACATTGGTTTGGTAAAAAAGTGAGAACAAAGATTAGTATGAAGTTGTAGAGAAATGTTTGGGCTATCGAATGATATAATTTTTATCAAAAATTCATTTAAAACAACTCGAACAATTAGATTTTGCTATTTATTAGAAAAATAGCTGGGATTGCCAAATCACCCCGCATATATACATTAATTGCCGAATCACCCCATGCGGGGTGATTTGGCAAAGTTTCTGGTAGATCTCACTAAAATCATCATGAAAACGTTATTTTAAAAGATTTTGAGAAAGTAAAAACATCATTCGATAAAAATATATTTTTTCTACATACTTTGTACCAAAATTTTTCTTCTATCATTTAAAATAAAAAAGTTATGTGTGCTGCAACACAAAGATTCAATTTCTTGTGCCAAATCACCCCTTCTTACTCTATATTGTTTTTTCTACAAATCCTCAACGTTTTTTCAGAATAATCGAATTAAAATTAATTTGAATTCATTAAATTTATTGAAAAAATTCTGTTCGACTAATTATTATTAATTATTCGAATTATTATTTTATTTTTAATAAAAAATCGAATATATTCTTGTTAATCGATTTTCAAATCAGTTGATAAATATGATTATGTTCAATAGAGAATAAAACTATTCGAAAAAATACGAATAATAAATGTATGTCTGTTTCTATTATATAGGCATAAATTCGATATGGAACATTTTCACTGATATACAGATCATATAGGAGCCTGTTGAATATGCCTTCACGAACAAATCAACGAAATAGAACTGAAAATAATATATTCAACTTATATGATAAACAAATGAAATGAAATGAAATGAAATGAAATGAAATGATAATATTAATATTCTATCTTAATTAAAAAAATAATTATTATATTTAAAATGGATGAAACAAAAATAATATTTTAATCAATTTTAATTAGTAAAATCTGTTACTATGTAAAAACTGTTTTAACAAGACAAGGTTTTATTAATATTAGATAAAAAACTTCTTAGTTTTATTGATAAAACAAATTTATCAATCAGGATAAAATATAATAAAAATAATTGTGAAAACGAAAGTCGATGATATAAAAATAAAATACTTACGAGTAATCAAAAGTTCTCTCATCGTTAAATAAAAATATAAAGATAATGAGATATTTTCAATTTTATTTCATTAGATGTTCACAATAGTTATTATGATTATTTATAGCAGCAAGTTCAATCCTTTCGACATAATTTATTAAAAGTTATTTTAACCTCTTTTTCGAAAACAATATTTAACTACCTTGGAAACCGTATGAACACATCATATTTCATTTATTTAATCAGTTTGACTATAGTCAATAGAATTATTTAACCAAAGATTATGT